TCAAATGTTATAGTAACAACTACCTCTCCCAAAACAATTGTTATTTTTTAACACTTTTTCTCAAAATTAAGATTTAGAGACAATTTATATGTTTAATTATATTATTCTTAAAAAATTAAAAATAAAGAAACCTTTTATGATTAAATAAATAATTAAAGGGATAAAGATAAAACCAAAGTAACACATATATATACATATATATTAACCACCTAAAATCTAACAATTAATCTAACAATTAATTTAAGACAAATTTAGAATGAAAAACAACAAATTATTATTGGACAAAGGGAGTATATCATTTACACTATAAAATTTCAGTATTGTGTTTTGCAGTTCGGTGTACAAAATAAGATTTTGCGGAAATATTTATCCAAAACTTCAGAAAATTACCAAATATAAAAGACAAAAATCAGAATTTAAATATAAAATCTTGGTAACTTACTAATCTACATCCATATTTTTATTTCCATGTATGTATATTAATCAGCAACTTGATTGGAAACATCCCTCAAAACCTGAGCAGCATCCTCCGGAAAAACGGGATTAATATAACATCCGGTCCCGAGTTCAAAACCCCCTACACCAGTTAACTGGGGTACGATTTGCAAGTACCAGTGCATGTATGGCAACTCTGAATCAGTAGCTCTAAGTGGAGAAGTATGGAACATGAAATTGAAGGGAGGGTCATTCAGCTGCAATGCTATCTTTCTAAGCATGAGTTTGAGCAAGCCCCCGAACTCAACAGCCTGCATTTAACGCAGATTAAGAGGGAAGAATAAGTTCTTAAACACTGCAGGTCAGCATTGTAATAATAGAGTGTGGAAATATAATGGTGCATCACCTATTTGCACATCATGTTAGTTCCTAGAATACATTTGTAAACATGTATAAAATAAAAATGCTAGGAGAAGCATAAATTTGTATCTAGAATACTTTTGAGTACCCCCACCTGACAACACAGATATCCTTGCATTCCATAACTCTTTATGATATGCCATGTATTTCAGATAAAAATATATGATACAACTTGAACAGAATCTGATTTTCTTTTAGTCATGATAGCTACTTTTAATTTGGTATTCCACTATTCCATGGAAAACAATTGTTCAGAATCTTCAGATACTGGGCATCTCTCATCAAAATTTCAACACAACCTCTACAGGCACCAGAGAGGTAAACTAGCACACTTAATTCTTGCCAACAAATGACAACCAAGCTACTGATAAAGAAGCTAACCTTATGCCCTAGTGCACCATGCTCTTTCAAGAAGAGCTATTGAAACATATATATGTGCATATTGTCATCTTGCTCATTTAAAATTTAGGCCTTCCACGTTATATTTCCATTTTTCCATTCAGAAATGATAGAAATTGCAAATTTATCTGGCACAAGAAAAATATTCTAAGCCTATAATTTTCAATATGTAAAATTCAAAAAGGATAGGTGAAACCTACAAACCAGTTGGTTGATATAAATAATAAGATATGGGTACGACCTTGAAACAATAGAAATCAAGAGGTGCAAGAGGTTACCTTCTCAGCATCTATTTCATGAAGATGAGAAGCATGATAGCGGGGAATAATCCATATCTCAAAAGGAAATGAGGCAGCGAAAGGAACAATTGAAATGAAATTGCTTGTTTCATTAATCAGGAGGTCCTTTAATTGAACTTCACAGAGACAACATGTTCCTGTCCGATTAAAATACTCCTTCATACTGTCAAGTCGAACTGAAACAGAAGGGGGAACAATTGGGAGAGACAGCATCTGACTGTGAGAGTGAGTCATTGAAGCACCAGCCGAAGCTCCATGATTCTTGAATACCTTAAAGCACCAATCCAGTCATTTTAGATGCATGCTTACAAAGCAGGAACAATATTTCAAAAGGATATTCAGAAATTTACAACAATAAGCATTGAGTAGTTGGAACGTGAAAAAGGAATGAAAAACTCAATGCTTGTCTAATTAAACCACAAAGATGCAAGTCAAAATGGTTTAATATAAAATAAAAAGGACAATAGTAACAAATTTAATATTGGCCACAAAAAAGGCAAGAAAATTTACTTTCTTCATAAGGTTCTTTGAAACCAACTGAAATTACTTTTAAAGCTCTAACATTCAACAATAGTTGATCCATGGAACACAATAAAACTATTACCAAACCATAACTAGACCATATTTTTTACTGAAAGCCTAGCTGCCATTAGAGAGAAGCTTTAATCAAGCGATATCATAGAAAAGCAAGATTGAAAAAATATGCTCCAAACCTCAAGTATTTAACAGGAAAATGTAAAACCATATGTGTGACTTAAGATCCAAACTTACAGCAAAGATTAAAAGAAAAACAAAACCCAGACATGTATCCAGAAGTTAGCCTACCAAACATAAGTGATAATCATCTGAATAAGAAATAAACCTGGACATATTTGATGGAATCATGTCTAGCAATCTGCTCAATCCTTGTCTTATATGCAAGAATGACATCCCCCATTGCTTTCTGATCCAAATCAGACAGCCGTACCGAGTGCAATGGTGCTTCAATGACCACGTCATGAAACCCAAACCCAGGGATGGCGAGTCCCCAATCGCCTGTTTCGTGTTTGACAAAGCTATTTTGGCCAAATTGGCACTCAGGACTCCTGCTCACTGCAGGGTACAAGTTCTCAATAACCCGGAGCTTCCAGTTTGGATGTTTTGGGGGAATACGAAATATCTCAGGTGCACACTCAGACTCATGGCCAATGCAAAAGGCACATTCAATTATATTGTGGGAACCTGAGGCTTTAGATTTGAAATCGGTAGGGCGTTTTGCTCTGGCAGGAGAGAACACCACCCAGCGGTTTGTGACAGGGTCTTTCCGAATTTCCGGGGTCCGACTTTGGATTGGAGCCTAAG